TCTTCTTCTTCTTCTTCTTCTTCTTCTTCTTCTTCTTCTTCTTCTTCTTCTTCTTCCTACTCTTCCTCTCCTCCTCCTCCTTTCTCCTTTCCCACCTTCCTTTTCCATTCCTCCTCCTCCTCCTTCTCTTCTTCCTCTTCCTCTCCTCCTCCTTTCTTCTTTCCCACCTTCCTTTTCCATTCCTCCTCCTCTTCCTCCTCCTCCCCCCTATCCTCTTCCTCCTCCCTTTTTCCTTCCCTGGAAGGTAAAAAAATGGAGCACCAGGGGGAGGGGGTGAAGCTCCTTCCCCCGCTCCGGTATGCCCCCTTTTTTGCCTTCTGGGCTGCAGGGAAGCCTCCCGGGCGAAGCAGTAGGACAGCCAGAGGAATCCCAGCACAGCTGATCACTGGAACAGCTGATCGTCGGGAGAGGAAAAAAAGAAATACCTTAAGGAGTGACTGGGTGGTAGAGAACGCAGTCGGCCATGTTGCGTATGCGCGATAAGGACTGACTAGGCAGGGAAGGTGGAGAGGGGCCAGCCAGGGGCACGATTTACTGATTTTCTGAACTGTGCAGAATCATAACAACCGATTCTATAGAACCGGTCCGAACCGGTAGAATCCCACCCCCAGGTCATGTGATTCACTTTTGCGACCTTCTTTGACCAGCAAAGTCAATGAGGAAGCCAGCCTCAGGTCACAACCGTGTCCCCTAACTGAACAACTGCAATGATCCACATCACAACCGGGCCAAAAAAGGTCGTGAAAAAGGTGGGAGGAAACTAACTTAACAAGTGTCTTGCTTAGCAACATACATTTTGGGCTCCGTTGTGGTCGTAAGTCGAGGACTAGTTGTACAAGTCTTGGTTGTCCCAAAGGTGATTTTCAAAAAAGCAGCTGGACTTTCTTGGTTTTTTTTTTTTTTGGAAAATATTTTACTTCTCATCCAAGAAACCGTTCAAATTAGAGAGTGGCTGTTGTGAGGAAAGGTAGGAAAATTGGAGATATTTGCCACTTTGAGCTATCTGTGAAAATAATAAAGCCAAAATAATAAAGCGGGATACAATTAAATAAACAATAGATTGCACCCACATCCGTACCTGAGAAAAATATAATTGAAAATTCCCAAAGAGAACGGAGTACCTATTTTTTTTTAAAAAAAAGTTTGACTTAAATCCACCTGGTATTTCCCCCCTTTTTTTTCCCTGGGACACCAGCACCACCTAGTGGACATCTTCACCATTTTATCCATTCAACCCAGGAAACGGATAGACGTATCCAGAGGCAAAAGGCTAGTTCAACTTAAGTTTAATTCTAAAAGTCCTGCTTTCTCCTCTGAAACTAAGCTTTTGAACAGAAAAAGCGGGTATTTCTCCTGTTGAAGAAGACGTGTACAGCTTCCTAGAGAGAAATAAGGCGGAAAAGTCTTTTTTCTTTTTAATCAACCCTTTCCAAAATGAAGAAGGCGACGATGCTATAATGCAGTGGTTTCCAATCTGTAGTCTGCGGAGCCCTGGGGGACAATAGCAATAGCCCTTAGACTTATATACCCCTTCACAGTGCTTTACAGCCCTCTCTAAGTGTCTTACAAATGTCAGCCTCTTGCCCCCAGCAATCTGGGACCACATTTTACCGACCTTGGAAGGAGGGAAGGCTGAGTCGACCTTGAGATGGTCAGGATCGAACTGCTGACAGTGGGCAGAATTAGCCTGCAATGCTACATTCTAACCACTGTGCCACCATGGCCACGATGTCATCAGGCCACAAAAGGTATTTGAAGGGAGTTTGTGGTGAAGGAAGGGTCGAGAACTATCGTTATAAGGCATGAATGGTGATCATGCAGCTACCGTCCGATAAGTCCCCTTTTCCCAAAACAAGGAAATGTGATTCTTGAGATGGTAGCAATGCAGAATCGTAAAATCACGGTAGTTCGTCCAGAAAAAGACATCTGTTATGTAAAACATTCCTAAAAATATCCCGATTGTCATCTCAAAAGCACTTGCTTTTGCTCTGTTGATTTCCTTCTGTTGGTAGACAAGCTGGGTGAAGCCTCAGAACCGTGAGTAAACCAACTTCTCCTTCATTCGGCCACGTGGAAGGACAGAGTAGACACCGTTGGTTGGCTCTCCCAGACTTGATTCCACCAATCGGACAGCGCAGATCAGATATGACCCTAGAAGAGGACAAAATTACAGATTACAGATTAACAGAGTTGGAAGGGACCTTGTAGGTCATCTAGTCCAACCCCCCTACAAGCAGGAGACCCTACACCATATCTGACAGATGGCAGTCCAGTCTCTTCTTGAAAGTTTCCAATGATGAAGCTCCCACAACTTCCGAAGGCAACTTCTGTTCCACGGGTTGATTGTTCTCACTGTCAGAAAGGTTCTCCTTATTTCCAGGTTGAATCTCTCATTGTTCAGTTTCCATCCTTTATTCCTTGTCTGGCCTTCGGGTGCTTCAGAAAATAGCTTGACCCCCTTCCTCCTCTCTGTGGTAGCCCCTCAAATATTGGAAGATGCTCTCCTGTCTCCCCTGGTCCTTCTCTTCCCTAGACTAGCCAGGCCCAGTTCCTGCAACCGTTCAGTGTATGTTTTAGCCTCCAGTCCCCTCATCATCCTGGTTGCTCTTCTATGCACTTTTTCTAGAGTCTCAACATCTTTTTTTTATCGTGTGGTGACCGAAACTGGATTCAGTGCTCTAGGTGTGGTCTTACTAATGCACCACTCAGGAAGATGTGGATTTAGCTGTGTAGAAGTTAGAAGATATCTCATTCGGGGCCTTTTCTCCTGGGAAAACAACCCAGCGTGTCCAGATTGCCCGGAGACACCACCATTCATAACAAAGGGGGTGGATAAAAATCCTGAAATCTCCAAGACATGGCGGCTTTAAGACCTGCGGACTTCAACTCCCAGAATTTGCCCAGCCAGCACAGGAAGAGCACAGCTGGCTGAGGAATTCTGGGACCTGAAGTCCACAATCCTTTTAACCCTTGGAGACCCTGTATTCCAGATCCTAGCCTACCTTACCTGCTTACTCTGCTTGTCTGGAAGCAACTCATCGCTGGGATCCCTCTCGCCTCTCCTCAACTGGAGAAGCTGCGGGGCTGTTCCATGAGCTGACGGACGGAAGGTGTTCTTGAGGAAGGCTCGGCAATGGGCGATCCCTGATCCAGTGGCTCGAAGAGGAAAGGGTCTAAATGGACACCAGAAGAAATGGGTTGGGGGTGGTGAGGAGATAACTGGCATCGACGTCTTAGATACCCAGCAGTCCCATTCCCATGTCAAAATACAGGGAGTCCTTGGCTTATGACCCCAATGGAGCCCATCATTTCTGCTCCTAAGCAAGACTGCCAGAGTTCCAGAAATTATCCCTTCCAATCAGTAACTCCGAGACAACCATAATCTCAAAGGGCTTTATTAAAACAGAAACTTGGCACCTCCCTGTGGAATTCCGAAACTAAAGTTTCCTCCCCGACTTCCCACAAGACTCAAGCTACACCCACCCCTTTTCTTTCACATCATAAATCATGTGAACCAATCACCCTTCAGCTACAATTCTGGCTGCGCCACAGAGAATGGCCTTGAAGGTTTTATATATCTATTTTGTCTACTGAAAGCTACTCAAACAACAGCAGCCCGCCTCTGCAGCGGTGCGGCAGCTTTTAATAAGGATTCCAAAGCTGACACAAGACACTTGCTAAAGTGATTGTGGTTCTGTTTTACGACCTTGATTGCCACAGTTGCTCCCCAAACGTGACCAACCCTCTGAAGTTAAACCAATGATTCCTTTATTAGGAGCCGCTGCAGCCCTGTCAAAACGTCTTTCTCTCTCACCGCAGGCTAACAAGTCTGTCCAGCAGGGAGAGGAATAGTTGTCTGCCCGCATCTGTTCATCTCTGCCCCCTGCCTTTTATCCCCAGAGCTAAGGTGGGGCTTTGCTAGCAGCGGTGGCTCTTCCGTCCCAAGGACCGGCCCATAGATTTCCACTGCTCTCCTTTCCTCCTGCGAATTTGCATGTCAGGCACTGGACCCAACTGTTCCTCCTCTTCCTCATCAGCCACTTCCAGACCTGGGGGCTGTTGACTCTCCACCTGAGGGCTGAAGGACGTCCCAGGCTCCGCCTTTGTCACTCTCTCTGACAACTTTATTCCCTCTTCCCGCTTGGAGCTTCCAAGTTGCCCTGATGCTAACCCTAACTCTCATGCCTCCTCCTCCTCCTCCTCCTCCTCCTCCCCCCCCCCCCCCCCCCC